TGTAAATAAACAAAACAAACATTAAAAAAAGTGAAATAGACAACACTATTGTAGTAATTGGAGACTTCAATACACCATTCTCAAGAAAAGATAGAACTACCAGAAAGAAACTCAACAAAGAAACTGAAGAATTAAACCACACAATTAACCAACTCGATCTCAAGGGTTGATCTCATAGGCTAATGCACCCCCAAAAGCACAGTATAACTTCTATTCCAATGTGCATGGAACATTCTCCAGAATAGACCATATCTTGGGACACAAGGCAAGCATCAATAAATTAAAAAACAGAAATAATATAGAACATCTTCACAGACCACAATGCTACAGAATTAGAAATTCATAACAAGATGACAGAGGAGAAAAAACCCAACCATTTGGAAGTTGAACAACACTTTACTTGAACATGAGTGGGTTGTTGTTGTTCTTGTTATGTGCCATCGAGTCGCTTGGAACTCATAGCGACCCTATGTACAACAGTCCTAAACTCTGCTCTATCCTGTGCCAATCGCACTGTCTCTGATACACCCATCCCAATTACCCCAGTCACTGAATCAATCCACCTCATAGAGGGCCTTCCCCTCTTGTGCCGTTCCTCCACCCTCCCAAGCATGATGTCCCTCTCCAAGCATAGGTCCCTCCTTACAACATGTCCAAAGTATAAAAGACGAAGCCCCAGAATTCTTGCCTCCAAGGAGCAGCCCAGTTTAACCCTCTCCAGGATGAATCTGTTTGTTTTCTTAGCAGTCCATGGTACCCTCAATACTCTTCTCCAGCAACACAGCTCAAAGGCGTCAATTCTCCTTCTATCCTCCCTAGTCATTGTCCAACTCTCTGTCGCATAGCAAGTGATTGCAAAGACCATGGCCTGTATCAGATGCACCTTAGTCTCCAGAGAGACATCATTGCTCTTCAGAACTTTGGAAAGGCCCCTAACAGCAGACTTACCCATGGTAATATGTCTTTTAATCTCCTGGCTACTGGTGCCAAGAATGTTGACTGTGGAGCCAAGCAGACTAAATCTGTGAACAATTTTCACCATCCATCCTGATGCTGCCAATTGGTCGAGTGGTGAGAATCTTTGTCTTCTTGACATTGAGCATCAATCCAAATTCAAAAGTTGCTTGAAACAAATAACCATGAAAACACAACTGACCAAAACCTCTGGGCAACACCCCAAGCAGTAACCAGAGGTCAATTTATAGTAATAAGCAAACACATTAAAGGCAAGAAAAAATGACCATTGACTCTCTAGCCCAACATCTCCAGCAAATTGAAAAAGAACAGCAAGAAAACCCAATACTCTCCAAAACACCTGAAATTATAAAAATTAGGGCAGAAATAAATGGAATAGAAAACAGAAAAACAATTGAAACCATCAACAATGCTAGGAGTTGGTTCTTTGAAAAAGTCAATAAAATCTACAAACCACTAGCAAAACTAACAAAAAAAAAAAGAAGGAAAAGACACAAATAATCCAAATAAAAGATGAAACGGGTAACATAAAAACAGAACCAACTAAAATAAAAAGGCTAACAATGGAATATTATGAGTAACTAAAAAAAATATGACAACCTAGAGGAAATTGACAAATACTTAGAAAATCACACCTAAATTGACACAAACCAAAATTGAACACCTGAACAGAATCATTACAAAAGAAGAAATTGAAGAGGTAATAAAACAACTTCCAGTCAAAAAAAGTCCTGGACCAGAAGGTTTTACAAGTGAATCTTATAAAAAATTCAGAGAACTGTCACCAATTTACACAAACTATTTCAGAAAATAGAAAAAAATGGAATCCACCCAGACTCATTCTATGAAGCAAACATATTTGTGATACCAAAGCCAGGAAAAGACAGCACCAAAATAGAAAACTATAGGCCAGTATCTCTCATGAACAAAAATGTAAAAATCCTGAATAAAATCCTGGCCAATAGAATCCAACGATACATAAAAAAATAATTTACCATGACCAAGTGGGATGGTTGCCTAACAAGTACGCAAGGATGGTTCAACATAAGAAGAACAATGTAATTCATCACATTAACAAAGCAAAGAACAAGAAACACATGATCCTATCAATTGATGCAGAAAAGGCCTTTGACAAAAATCCAACACCCTTTCCTGATTAAAACAGTCAATAAAATAAGATTCGAGGGGAATTTCTTCAACATAGTAAAAAGCATATATGAAAACCCAAGAGCCAACATTGTTCTCAATGGAGAGAGATAAAAGGCATTTCCTTTGAGAATAGAAACTAGGCAAGGATGCCCACTATCACCTCTATTATTCAATATTGTATTGGAAGTCTTTGCGAAAGCAATAAGGCAAAAGAAGGAAATAAGAGACATCCAAATTGGTAAAGAGGAGGGGAAATTATGTCTCTATGAAGATGATTTGATAATATACTTAGAAAACTTTAAAGACTCAGCAAGAAAACTACTGGACATAGTTGATGAATTCAGCAAAGTGGCAGGATATAAAATCAACATACAATTGGATTTCTCTACAGTGACAAAGAGAATATAGAACTGGAGCTAAGAAAAACAATAACCATCACAATAGCTAAGCACAAGATCAAATACTTGGGAGTAAATCTAACTAGAAACACAAAAGACCTATTCAAAGAAAATTACAAAACATTACCACAAGAAACAAAAAGAGACCTGGAGAAATGAAAGAATATACCATGCTCTTGGATAGGAAGAGTCAGTATTGTGAAAATGACAACACCACCAAAACCAATTTACACTTTCGATGAAATCCCAATACAAATACCAATCCCATTCTCAACGAGATGGAAAAGGCAATCTCCAATTTCATTTGGAATGGAAAGGGGCCCTGAATAAGCAAAGCACACCTTAAAAAGAGAATCAAGGTATGAGGCATCTCATTCCCTGATTTCAAATCGTATACTACTGCTGTGGTGGACAAGACATCATAGTGCTGGTACAATGACAGACACACAGATCAATGGAATAGAATTGAGACCCCAGAAAGTAGCCCAACTACCTGTGGCAAACTGATTTTTTACAAGGAGATGAAATTAGTTAAGTGGGGAAACTACAGCCTTTTTAACAAATACTGTTGGCAAAACTGGAAACTATCTGTAGAAAGCAAGATCTACACCTCACACCATATACAAAAACCAACTCAAAGTGGATCAAAGACCTAGGAATAAAATCAAGGACTATGATTTTCATTAGAGAAATGCTTGGAAGGACTCTAAAAGCCCTAATTCACAACATGAACAGCCTTCCAAGCATCCTGAAAAACCAACAACCAGGGGAGGATAAAATATACAAATGGGACCTTCTAAGAATCAAATCCCTATGCACATCCAAAAACTTCTCCAACAGGGTAAAAAGGGAAGCCACAGACTGGGAAAAAAAACATGTCTGATAAGGGACTCATATCTAGAATTCATAGACTACTTGACCACCACAATAAGATAAAGGTAAAAGACCCAATTGAAAAATAGGCACAGGATACGAAAAGACACTTCGCCAAAGAAGACATTCAGATGGCAAACAAACTCATGAAGAAGTGCTCAAAATCCTTAGCTCTAAGAGAGATACAAATCAAAACAACTATGAAATATCAACTCACCCCAGGAACAATAGCAAAATTCAACAGAGCAGCAAACAACAAATGGTGGTGAGGTTGTGAAAAATCTGGAACATGGTGCAACAACTATGGAAGGCTGCAGTATAGTGCTTTCTCAAAAAGTTGCAAATAGAAATACCATTGGACCCAGCAATTCCACCCCTAAAGAAACCAGAACTGCCATGCAAGCAGATATATGCACACCCATGTATATTGCTGCCTTTTTCACAATAGCAAAGAGCTGGAAACAACCCAAGTGCCCATCAACAAACGAATGGATAGAGAAACTGTGGTATAGTCACACAATGGAATACTATGCTGCACTGAAAAAAGAGGAACTCATTAAATATTATACAAAATGGAGGACATTATCCTGAGTGAAATATCTCAGTCACAAAAGGAATGCAAATACTGACTTCGGGGTTGAGGGAAACTTAAGAAAAGAGGAGATGTCCTCCAGGGTCACCCATTTTGAATAATATTGCATGAGTTCCTTATTTTTCAATGCAGTGTAGTATTCTATTGTGTGAATATACCAAGCTTCTCTATCCATTCGTTTGTTGATGGGCACTTAGGTTGTTTCCAACTCCTTGCTATTGTGAACAAAGCCTTGAGTATTATGCAATTCTAATTTGCATTTTCTACCATAAATATGCATAACATCTATTATTCATTTTTTACATCAACAGAGGTTGTGTGATAAATGTAATTTGTTTCTGTTTATACTTTTCTGTATGAAGATACTAAGACATAAAATTAAGTGAGAAAATAGCTTCATATTAACTATATAGAATCACAGTCAAATAGCAATCTAGACTTCTATGATTCTATAGTATTTTACTGCACTTTTGATGAAAGCTTATACAGCAAATTATGCTCCCATTCAACAATTTAATATAGAAGTTCAGTAATACTAGCTACACTCTTCACAACATGTAACCATTCTCATTAATTCTTTTCTGGCTGTTTCTTTTCCATTAATCTAGTTTCTCTGCTCCTTTAAATTCTCCTATTTGTTTTAAAGTACTGTTGATCATTTTACTTCATAAAGGTTATTAAAACAGCACAGTACTTAACAATGACAGTATTTTTTTTTTTAGCTAAATTTGTTATTCTGCTACAAGGGGATATCAGAGGTGGGATTCAGTTCAATGTTTACAAAGGGCAATAGTCTTCAGAATCGTCTAGTCTTAACCAGACTAGGTTTTTGTTTTGTTTTTGGAATTTGAGGTTCTATTCCACACTTTTCTCTTGTTCTGTTAGGGTCCACCATTCTGTCAGAGCTCTGGTAAAAATGTCTTTCCTTTTTTTTTAAATTTGGAATTGATCTTTAGGTAAATCTTAGGAAAGATGACAACACTAATAAACAAAGGGGGCAGGGGATACTGTACCTGCTTGCAGAATTTGGTTACTGCTGCTCCTAGAGGGTGTTCACTGCTACTTTCAGCAGTTCCCACAATGGCCAAGATCTTACTGCGGGATATTCTGTTACTTTCCACTAGCACTTTTACTTGATTCACTACTGGGGTTCCATGAGTAATGGTTCCAGTCTTATCAAATACCACTACCTTTACCTGTAAGAAAATGAAAATACAATGTACTCATATAAACACGATATCACCTTTCCATCAACAAGAAAAAGTTTAATTTAGCAAAAGATTACTATTCTGTCTCTTAATAATTGGATCAACTAATCCACTGATAGTCTTGGGGGGAAAATGAGCAAACTAGAGACAATACTCTTACTTATAGCTAAAAGTACTCATTTGCAAATGTTCAATAACACTTCATGCTAAATTACTGCATTGTTATACAATTATAGCTAACTGCTAAGAGCTGATTGCTAATAGCTAATTAAGAGATGCCTCTAAATGTTTCCAAGTTAAAAAAAAAAACAACTATTCTAACTATTTAATTCTAGATCAGCCTGGGCAAAGTTACTGGGTTGCTTTCTAGTTATACTGGGTTTAGATTAGGGTGAGAAGTGACAACTCAAGGAACAAATCAGGCAAATATTGTAGATAAGAATGTGGGAAGCATCTGGAAATAGATTAGATCTTCGGGCAACTTGGAAATTTAGAATCCCTAAGAAAAGAAACAGATTCATCCTGGAGAGGGTTAAACCAGGCTGCTCCTCGGAGGCAAGGATTCTGAGGCTTCGTCTGACATACTTTGGACATGTTGTAAGGAGGGACAGGTCCTTGGAGAGGGACATCATACTTGGGAGGGTGGAGGGACGGTGCAAGAGCGTAAGACCCTCTATGAGGTGGATTGATTCAGTGACTGGGGTAATCGGGATGGGTGTATCAGAGGCAGTACGACTGGCACAGGATAGGGCAGGGTTTAGGGCTGTTGTACATAGCATCGCTATGAGTTGCAAGCGACTCGATGGCACATAACAACAACAACAACAAGAATGTATCAATCGTTCATAGAGTTGCTATGAATATAATTTTCCAGCATGATGCCTTTTTTCAAAGGCCTGGCCCCTGCTGACAACATGCCCAAAGTATATGAGACTCAGATAAAGTTTCACTATCCTTGCCTCTAAGGACCACCCTGGCTGTACTTCTCCAAGACAGTTTTGTCTTATCTTTTGGCAATCCTGGCATATTCACTACTGTTAACTAACACTACAACCCAAAAGCATCAATTCTTCTTCCAACTAATTGTCAAACTTTTACATGCATAGGAAGAAACTGAAAATATCATAGCTTAAAATGATATCCATGCATAGCACCATACATCTGTCAGTCTGTCATATTCTAGTGGCTTGCATGTTGCTATGATGCTAAAAGCTATGACACCAATATTTCAAGCACCAGCAGGGTTTATCCATGGTAGGTTTCTCCAGACTAAGACACACTAATAAGCAGAATTGGCCAACCACTTCTAAAATAACAGGCCCTAGAAAAACCCTATAAATAGCATGGGGGAACTTGAGTAAAAAAGTATTTAGGAGTTATTTGTATTATTCTTGCAAATTATAAATTTCAAATAAAATAAAAAATTATTATAAAAAAGTCAATAACCTGAATTTACAGGTTATGTGAGGTTTCAAATTTGTTCTAAACTGTGTTCTATGCTTAATGTATGCATATATATATATATATATATATTATTGCATCATAGCAAGACTATACTAGTAGAAATACAGTTTAAAGTGAAGTCAATTAGCCTTGACTGAGATTATCATGAAAATACTAACTACAAAATAAGACTAACCACAGCTCTAAACTGCCAGCTGATGGTAGTAAAAATAAAGAAACTGAAATATAGTAATGACAAGTTTCTCTTTGAAAAAATGCAAATAATTTGTCATAGACAAACAGATTATAAACCTGATAGATTTTGACAAATTTTCCTGAGCAAATGAATACATTGTCTTTCTGTCTTACAGGCTGATCTAATCTGAGTTGGGATAAGTAGGACTCTAGGCTTTCCACATCAGGAAATGGAGTAGTCTTAGAGATTAAGGCTAATTTCTAATAGATTCTAAAAAACATCTTTCTTACCTTATCCCTTATCATGGTCCAAGAAAAGCCTCATTTTCTAGGTTATGTGAAATTAATTTAGGACACTGAGTTGTAGGGGCATTATTGCTACTTCAGACAGGACAATTTCTAGTTCTAACAGATGTTTTACCTTATGAGCCATCTCCAGTGGTTCACCACCTTTGATAAGTATGCCATTTTGAGCACCTACTCCTGTACCAACCATCACAGCAGTCGGAGTGGCAAGACCCAGTGAACAGGGGCAAGCAATGCACAGAACTGTGATAGAGGCTTGAAAAGCAAAGCGTATTATCGTTTCTGTTTGGGAGATACTTCTATTGTAGCCCTTTAGAAGAAAAGCACAAAATTTAGTAACTGATTTAGAGTTGTCCAAGACAAAGGAAACAAAATTTAACCCTACCTAAAGAAAGCTATAATTTTGAAGTCATACTACTTAGCTATCAGCATACACATTTTAGTGACCAGTAAGAAAAACTTTTTTCTTTTATAAGAAATTTCAACACAGCTGGCACACAGACCATAATCTTAAAAGCAAGATTTCCTTTTTGCTGATTTCATACTTATAAACTATTCCAATTACATGAAACATAAAATGCAGCTTCCCCCTCCCCCGTATTAAGAATGTTGTTGTTGATTGCGTTAAAGTCGAACACGATGCATAGCAACCCTATGAACAAAAGGCCTAAAGTTCCTCTACAACTATCAACATTTATCAAAGTTCATAGAGTTTCTGGAGGCATGTTGTTTAGGAAGTAGATGCCACTCCTGCTTCCAAACCCATCATAGTATGCTATTGTTGTTATGTGCTGTTGAGTCGCCTGTGATGTATAGCAACCTTAAGTACAGCAGGTCTGAACCTTTCCCTGTCCTGAGCCAGTTTCACTAACTCTGACACATCAATCCTCATTGCCCCAGTTACTGTATCAATCCATCTCATCTATGGTCTTTCTCTCCTGCACTGTCCATCCACCCTTCTGAGAATGATTTTCCAAGGACCAATCTCTCCTGGTCACGTGCCCAAAGTAAGTGAGGCAGAGCTTCAAAATCCTAGCCTCCATTTGGACAAGAACAAACTGGGAGGAGGGTAGAGAGAATAGTGCAACAATGAATGAGTGGAAGCCCAAAATCTCTGTAAATGTTTATGAAAATTAATAAAATATAATTATAGAAAAAAAAATCCTAGCCTCCAAAGAGAGACTTGGTTTCACCCTCTTCAAGACAGACCAATTTGTTTTCTTGGCAGTTCAAGATTCTTCTCTAGCACCACAACTAGAAGGCATCTATTCTTCTGTTATCCTTAGTCATTGTCCAACTCTCTGAAGCATAACAAATAATTGAGAAGACCATGGCCTGGATTAGGCACACCTTTGTATCTAGACTGACATTGTTGCTCTTCAGCACTCTGGAGAGGTCTATGACAACAGATTTTCCCAATGCAATTAATCTTTTAATTTCCTGACTGGTGGCATTAAAAGTCTTGATTGTGGAGCTGAGCAAGCTGTAATTGTTAAAAACCTCAATCTCTTCTCCATCTATCACGGTGCTGCAAATGGGCCCAGTGGTGAGAATCTTCGTCCTCTTGATGTTGAGCTTCAATCCATATTGAAGACTACAGTAGTTGATGACCTTTTTCAGCAAGCGCTTCAGGTCTTCTTCAGTTTCAGGAAGCAAGGTTGAGTCATCTGCATATTGTAGGTTGTTAATAAGTCTTCCTCCAATCTTGATGACACATTCCTCCTCATCAAGCCCTGCCTCCTGAATGATGTGTTCTGTATATAGATTGAAAAGGTATGGGGACAGGATGCATCCCTGACACACTCCTTTCCTGATTTTGAACCATGCACTGTTTCCTTGCTCTGTTCTGAGGACTGCTTCTTGGTTCAAATATAGGTTTCATATAAGCATGATCAAGTGTTCTGAGATTCCCATTTTCCCCCAAGTTTAATCACAATTTATTGTGATACACACAGTCAAAAGCCTTTGCAGAGTCAATGAAACACAGACAGACATTCTTCTACTACTCTCTGCTTTCTGCCAAGATCCATCTGACATTGGCAATAATGTCCCTAGTACCACGACCTCTTCTAAACCCAGCTTGTATTTCTGGTAGTTCTCTGTCAATGTACTGTTCAAGTCTTTTCTGGATAATCTTCAGCAGGATTTTGCTAGGGTGTGATATTAGTGATATTGTTTGATAATTTCCACAATCTGTTGGGTCACCTTTTTTTGGATGGGAATAAAGATGGATCTCTTCCAGTCAATGGATAAATGAGTCGTTCTCCAGATTTCTTGGCACAACTTGGTGAGCACATGCAGGGAAGCATTTCTTTGTATAAGTGCTGTAATTTAGGGACCTTCAAAGGTAGCTGAAAACATGTGACATAATTCTCAACAGATGTAATCCTAAACATATAGAATTCTGAATTTCTATATATTAATACCATGCATCTGCTTAAAAGACAATGGGAGTAGAAAAGGTGATTTGTGCAAAGGGAGCAAAATCATATTTCAGCAAAATACCTTTGAACATAACATTGTGAAGTAAGTATATAGTCTAATTAAGTATTTGTTCATGTGGGTAAATATGATTGACATTTTAGGGAGAATTTTCTAAGATCACCTGTAAATGAAGGGAAAATTTCTTGTACAATAAATATACCAAGTCACTTCCCAGTAATTTTCTGGTTCTATGTGTACTTAATGTTAATCACTTAAAGATTTTTTTCATACTATACTATGACAAGAATACAAAATAAAATTTATATTTTTTTCTGTTATTGAAGATATAAATAGAGTAAGCAATAAAACAGCATGGCTTTTTTTTAAATGAGGAAAACAAAATAAGACTTTGTTAGTTAATTGTGTTGACAATGTCAAGATCTTATTAACTTCTTAAGTGTTTAAACTAAATGTTCATCCTATAGTTATATGTTTATACAGAAACAGTTGGAAGGGAATTGCATATATACTTTTATGTTTTCATAGAAGTCATTTGTGTGTGGTTTCATGTACATTCTATGCTTTCATCTATACTAACTCCAATCCTGTAAATTAGGTATAATTATCCCAAGTTTATAAATGAAAAAACCTGAGAATAAGAGTAGTGACTTAACCGTTATATATCTAATTTTAGGCACAATCTGGTTCTACTGTGTAACACTAAACATTAGAGATTGTTTTAGAACAAGAAGACAATAATAACTATCATTCATTTATTAGGCATATAATAAGTTACAAAGTATTTAGAATATATTACCTTACATAATAGTCACAACAATTGTTAGTTACTGCAGAATGGATACTATCAAATTTCATTCTGTAGATGAGGAAAATTAATAATATCAATGGTAAGTGGCTGAGCTGAAATTCTGAGATAACCCAGAATTTATCTTTTAGTTCTTCAGGAAAGCAACATAATGCTTATGTGTAATAAGGTTAAGTATATACTGTAAAAGTTCAACAATTGCTTCTGAAAAATTACAAATTATTACAAAAAAGCCTTTCAAAATATAAATCTTTCATACTTTCAGAAAAATGTTATTCTTATCATCCTCCCACTCCAGCCCCTTAAAGATACTGGTGACTATTAGTCATGTTCCATTTACTTACTTATGCAAAAGATTTGCAAACTCTTTAACATAGTAAAGAGTTCTTAAAAATCAATTACGGTGGGGGAGGGCTGGGCGGGGAGAGAAGTGCAGCAATGAATGAATGGAAATCCAAAATCTCTGTAAATGCTCATTAAAACTATTTTTAAAAAAAAAGGAAGGAGCTGAAAAGAAGATTTCAAAGGGCAGCTCGGGAAGAGAAGGCAAAGTATTATAATGAAATGTGCAAACAGATGGAGATAGAAAATCTCTTCAGCATTTCTTAAGCTGAAGGAACTAAAGAACAAATTCAAGCCGCAGGTTGCAATGCTTAAGGATGCTATAGACAGAATATTGAATGACTCAATAAGCATCAAAAGAAGATGGAAGGAGTATACAGAGTCATTGTACCAAAAAGAATTTCAAGAAACAACATATGATCAAGAGGTAATAATGAAGCAGGAAGTACAGGCTATTATGAAGGACTTGGCAAAAAATAAGGCCCCAGGAATTGGTAGAATACCAATTGACATATTTCAATAAACAGATGCTGCCCTGGATGTGCTCACCAAGTTGTGCCAAGAAATCCGGAGCACAATTACTTGACCAACTGACTGGAAGAGATCCATATTTATTACCATTCCCAAAACAGGAGACTTGATACAGTGTGGAAATTATTGAACAACATCACTAATACCATACACTAGCAAAATCCTGCTGAAGATTATCCAGAAACAACTGGAGCAGTACATTGACAGAGAACTACTAAAAATACAAGCTGGCTTTAAAATGGGTCATGACACTAGAGACATTATTGCCACTGTCAGATGGATCTTGGCAGAAAGCAAAGAGTAGTACCAAAGGAATGTTTGTGTTTCATTGACTATGCAAAGGCATTTGATGGTGTGGATCACAACAAATTGGGGCT